CATAGAATAAAACAATCATAAACAAAGTAACTTTATTTCTCATTTCTATTACAGGCATCAAAGTGATATGTAATTATACAAGAACTGAAGCAAAAATGTTCTTGCTGTAACAGATGTATTGTATCATGATAGTTAACATTGATGTATATGATCTTATTTGGGTGTAACAATGTGTAGTAATACAGTATCTGTAGTAGTAATCTGTTATCGCTACCAAAAGAAAATTGAAGAGATAAACATGCCAAACAGCCAAAGTGATGTCACAGCTCATGGGACTACAAAGTGATAATTATACTAGAATAACTTGATTATACAGTTAGTTCAAACTGATTGGGTCATTCAAAAAAATATCCACACCCCTAATGGAAGAGATGGGAGGTTCAGCTTCCTCCCACTTTTGGACACCCTTAGCTAATACTTTTACTATTATCAGCAGTTGAGTTCTGCCCACTTCAGACAGCACTTCAGACATCTGTGGAGTTAGTGTTTATCTTTTCTGGAATGACTCATCAGTGGCGGCGCCAGGCTTCCAAATTTGGGGGGGGGGGCATTTGAGGGGCAAACTCAAATTTTGGGGAGGCAAGATAGAATTTTTAAAAAGGTCCCCCCCCCCCGCCCCTCAAAACGTGGCGATATTCCTAGGAATATTGCCCCCGGGGGCGAATATCCTAGGAATATCGCCTCCCAGGGGGTGGGGCGAATACCCTAGGAATATCGCCCCTCTTTAGGACATCCGCCCCCCATATATGCGATGTGGTTTATTCAAATAATTTCGTGATACTTTCATCTTATTATTGCCTTACACGTTTGAGAATTTAACTCTGCAAAACTAAAGCTTTTTTGTCTTTTTTTGAAACGTATTATTGGAGTATTGGCAAGTTTTACCATTCGGAGATTTACAAACTAATATTGAAACTGTAAAAAACAGTTTCATATGTATATGCGCATTCACTAATGAGTAATGACAACTTATAAGCCATACATTTTCCGATAACGACAGAACGCTTGTGTAGCCTTTAGTCGCTCTTAGTGACTAGTAATTTTTTTTGAGGGGGGGGCAAAATGGGGGGGGCAAAAAATAATTGGGGGGGGGCATTTGCCCCCCCCCTGGCGCCGCCACTGTGACTCATCAATAATTGGTGATTGGTAGTTAATAATTATTCATTGAAGAATTTAAATTAAAATAATACAATTTCAACTGCATCATTGTGGTGGTAAATAATTCTGCAATAAACAAGAATATATTTTATAGGTTACTCTAAAAGAGAAAAAGCATGAAAAATCATATCAAGGGAAAATGAGGAATACAAAAGAAATATACTAGGTTTTCAGACGATGCTCGAACTTTGTTGGCAAGTTGAGTGACCCCTTAAAAATACATTGTTTTTTCAGAATTATATTTGTCAAGAAACTATTAGAAGTTACAGAAACCATAATCCTATGTGTATGTACACCAAAAGCTAAAAAAATATGAACAAATATAAAGGCCCCAAGCTCTTCAGCTGAAACGTCGAGGTTTATTTGTCTTAGTCTTAGCTACAGTGGTTGCATCATCCTGCACTAACTAGAACCCCCACCCAAGAACTACAATACATAATGATTCAAAACTCCTTAAGGTACTCCGACAGCAGAATGAGCTTCCTTGAGTACCTCTAGCTTTGGCATATAAAGTTAGTACAAAATATAAAATACTATAAATTCTCTTTGTTATTCCCTCAAAATATAGTGGTAAGTACTAACTGGTAGCACATTATACTGTACTTTCATGTCATTATAAAATCAGTCCCCAGGGTCAAATTAAGATAATTTGATATTTGTAAAATGCACAGTTTCGTGCCACCTACAGAAAATTATACATTTTCAAAATAGTATCATGAAATACAAACTGCACAGCAGGCTTATTCAAAACATCATAAAATATGCAACAAATAGAGCATGTAAACAAATAAACAATAGATCAAAATACCATTTTGCTCACGATTTAAATGAAACGAAAGTTGATTACTTTGTACAACAAGGCTTTAGAGACCTTTACATACTTGTGGCTAAAATATAATACATTGTACCACAGTTAAACCCAACAATTTTTGTAGAAAATTTGCTCGAGTGTGACTCAGTGTGTGAAGTTATGAACTGAGAAATATTTTACCTGTAGTTGCGGCTTCAAATATCGTCTTTGCGGATGTATTTCGAAGTTTTCTGTCTTTTGAGGACGAGAATATAATGTGTACGACTTGCACACATTTGAACCAGTGGTCAAAGGTACAAAAAAATATGAAAAAATCAAAAACTACGAGAATATACTGCAAATACTTCAACAAGCAAAAATATTTTAATAAGAACCAGGGGGGTGTGAAAGTCGTAGCGGGCTCAAAATTGAGCCTGGTCAGTGGTAATTACCATGAGCCGGAGGAACCATATGGCGTCATTCTGGCGTCAGCAAAGGCCGAAATCCGCCATGTTTTTGCGGACACTTTTTGATGCCGAGCACGTCCTCCAGTAATATAGTATAGCTCAGTGGGTCTTCCTCAGCTCGCGCGCCACCACGAGGAAGACCCTGGGGACGAGGTTGATAAAATTCGACTATTCGCTGACTATTCGTACTATTCGTCGACTATTCGCGGACTATTCGTACTATTCGTCGACTATTCGCACTATTCGTCGACTATTCGCACTATTCGCACTATTCGCTTCACTATTCTAGTTTTATCAATTGCCCACGGAAATTGTTCTTATTCTTCGGGCTTTTGACATTGCTATATTATAAAACAAATATAAAACATTTTTTCGGTATTGATATATAGTTATATCAACACTCGTGGAAGTTGGGAAGGGCGGAGTGTTTTCACACAATTTCGAGTTTTCCCAACTTCCACTCGTGTTGATATTTAACAAATATAAAACATTTTCCGTGTTGATATACAGTTATATCAACACGAGTGGAATTGGGAAAACGAGAAATTGTATGAAACACGACGCCCGAAGGGCGGAGTGTTTTCATACAATTTCGAGTTTTCCCAACTTCCACGAGTGTTGATATAACTATATATCAATACGGAAAAAATGTTTTATATTTTTTTTATAATATAACAATGTCAAAAACCCGAAGGATCAGAAAAATTTCCGTGTTTACAAGCGGCGGAAAATTTCCCGTGTTGACATTGAGTTATATCAACACGGCTCTTAGCCAATCAGCGTTCAGAATTTACAAATGCTATATTATAAAACTGTATATCAACACGGAAAATGTTTTATATTTGTTAAATATAAATTGGTGACAGTGGTTTGAACACTGGCACAAAAAAATGGGGGAGAGAAATTGAAAAGCAAGAAATACAGGGTGTCTAAAAAAACCGCTATGGAAATTCAACAGGCTGTCGTGCATCATAAACGTGGCTAAACAATTCAATTTTTACATAGGGCAAAATAACAGTTATTTAGCTTTTCAATGATACTCTTTTTAAATCGTAACGATGAGAAATGGCCACATACTCGTCAAATAAAAATTGCCGGTCGAAACCACATCTTCCACCGTTGGGAATTGTATGGAAAACGAAACATAAACAATTCCCAAGAGGGAATTAAAATTGAATGTTAAATAATCTAAAATAAGCTCAACTCGTCAATCTTCGTCTTAGTGAGACCATAAGAACGTCCATTATTGCATTAAACATGGTTCAATTAACCCCTGAACAGAGAACATTCGTAATCAAAACGTTTTACGAAACAAGTACCTTGCAGCAGACTCGCGGTGCTTTTGGATTGATTAACTTTGCATAATTAATGTATTTTCAATTCCCAACGGTGGAAGAATGTGATTTCGACCGAAAATTTTTATTTGACGAGTATATGGCCATTTCTCATCTTTACGGTTTAGAAAATATATCACAGAAAAGCTAAATACAGCAATAGCTCTTTCGTCCTGTGTAAAAATTGAATTGTTTAGTTAAGTTTGTGATGCACAACAGCCTGTTGAATTTCCATAGCGTCTTTTTTAGACACCTTGTATATACCATAACAGTCGAAAAAGAAAAAAAAATGTAATGTGGCGAAAACTTTTAGCCCCCTCGAAGTATGAAGAATCTTACAATTTGATGGTCAAAATATTTTTTTAATAACTTTCGCACAGTCACTGATAGATGTCACAAAACATTTCTTCCTGTCATGCGCAGGCTATATCGTTAGCTTCCTTGTATTGAACTATTTAACCTTTTAACTGTATATAAATTCGACTTAATTTAATAATAAGCTTAATAGATCTAATGACTTTTCAAACTGTTTACTGAATGTTAGATATTTTAATTGTAATATTTTCGAAATTTGTAGATCACGTAATCAGCTTTGGGCTGCGATGTGAATTTCGTAATAATATTAATAATAATAATAATAATAAATAATAAAATGTATTTCTAAAGCGCACATATCCCATGCTCATGGCGCTGTACGTGATAAATAACAAAGCATATAAGTATAAAATTACTATAAAATGTTTAAAAAGTTATGGATCATATTTGCAAATACAAAGAGCCACTATTTACAAATTCTTTGAAAAGAGTCTCTCCTTTTTAGAACTGTTTGTTGAACTAGACCTACGCAATTTTGAATATTATTCGGTAATGAACTGGGAGCCAGCGAAGACAGGCGTTACATGATGATACTTGTCAATCTAAGAAACAATCCGGGCCGCGCTGTTCTGAGATCTATCTATCTATCTTTAATTTTAGAAGATTCGCCAAACATAACAGACATAAATAAGACTAATACTTTACAAAATTTACATACAATTCGGGCAGGGACTAGCCACAGAGATAATCTCCAATTATGGGGCCCCTCACAATAAGCTACAATATATAACATTAAAACAAATTATGCTAAAATGTCAACAACATGTCCTCACTAATAAACTATCAAGAGACCGAGTTGAGTGGCATTTGACGCACAGTGATGCACAGTGGCATATCTTTATGCCTCATGTTGGGCCTTACCTTTGCATCCATCTGGAGAGAACTGATAGTGATCCGGCAAACATTGGTCGCATCGTCTTCCTCCTACGCCGGGTTTACAAACACACTGTCCCGAATGTAACTCACAGCTGTCATTGTACGCTCCAGATTGGTCACAATTACACGATTCACAACCAAGCCGAGAGTTGATGTTCCAGTGGTTCTCTTTGCATTGGTCGCATTTTAAGCCAATCACGTTTGAGCGACAAGCACACTGGCCAATATGGTTACAGGGCGGCAAAGGAGAGTTGCTTGGAGTCGAGGATGATACGAGGGTCCCATTTTCATGGCAATCACATGCTGTAAAGATTAAATGGATGCATACCTTGATTATGTATTATTCAAACACTTATTGCTGCCGAAGGCAGCACTCCTAATCTTGCTCCAGAGTTCACTTGACCCAGTCTTTCGCGCCGATCTATGTGTTGTCGAGATCTAGATCTTGTGTCTGTCCATATTTAAGATGTCGTAATTCCGGGGGGACACCGGGGGGAGTGCGAGAAAAATATTGAATTGCGTGCACATAATTTGCAAGCTTTTTATTCTGGATCTGACTTGATGCAAAATATACGAACACTTCCCGAAGAAACCAAGTAACTATGGCTTTATTTATTTGTGTTAATAGCCAGCAAAGCGATGAACTGTTTAGCGTTCGAAAATTCTGGAGGCAAGAGATGTGCTTTAACTGATTATGAGTTTATTGATATGTGCAAGCCAGCCAAAACCATGAGTATATATAGTGTTCAGTTTGTAGATGTTTATAGTTTGAAAATAAACGCGGAATGTTGTTTAATCAGGCTTACTGTAATAAGATTCCTAGAGCAACCCAATGTGGATTGTTGTCTGCAGCACGGTCTGCATGCACATTAACACCAGCTAGCAATTTAATACATGTAATAGTATGTCAACTGACTGACGGAATGCTCTACTAAAAGGGCCGTCCTTCACGACAATTCACTGTGTTTTTAATCGCCAAATTATTCGATTTTATTTTGTATGTTGTATTATGTTTACACACCTATTTCTCTCTCGCTCGCAATTATGTACTCTGTTGTTTTTGCTAAATGTCAATCATACAGTAATTATGTCCTTATATGGTGTTCATATCTAGTGTTTATTCATAACCTATTTATAGTCTGTTTCCAACATGATTTTTGTACAGGTATAAGACATGACTGTCTGTTTATATATATTATATATCTTTGAGGCCTCTGAGATATGTCCATTAATTGTTAGCATAATATGAACACAAAAGCAAATGCTACGATACGTTAAGACGAAGTGGAAAACTGGCTTTAGTATCTTTATACAAACATTGTACAGTATTCAGTGGTAAGCAAGCCGTGGCAACTGACCATGCTATGCTAATAAACGTGCATCTATTTGAACAATGCAAATCATTGTTCACCACTGACAGTATTATGATTATACATACAAAAGCAACAAGTTATAAGCATTGAAGATATTCAAATAAAACCGCCCATGGCCCATGCAAAGAAAGTGGAATTAGAACATTTAGCCGACCTTCGACTTTGTGCAAGGTGTTTGATATTCAAATTGCACTTTTCATACCTCCTGAACAGGTGTTTTAGGGGCTGTTTGCATGATGGAAGGCGGTGATTTTGATGCATTGAAATATTAGTCACTATGTAAATGAACTTCAAATGATGGTTAACAGAACTCAAATGTTGTAGAGAAGATCGCGTGGTTCAAGAAAGTTATTATGTTTGAACAACCTTTCGTTTATAGTTAACTATAATCCATCCATCTATAGAAAATAATGAAGTTTTTTGCTGGCAGGGACGTCGTGAAGATATCAACATTGGGTCGCTGTTCTGACCAACTTTTCCTAGAATTTTGACCAAGTAGTAGAAATGTTTCCCGAAAATGTTGTCCACGGGGCGGGGAGCAAAGCTTCAAATATTATTTGACCCAAATAAGCAAGGCTTGCAATTGTTCAGTCAGCACAAACATGACCAAAGCTTAGAAATTGTTACCATTGCGAGCAAATTGCTCATGCTGCCTTCATCCCTTGGGGGTAAGGCAGCATTTTCCTTGCGATAGTAACTTCTAGTTCATAAGCTTATTGGCAAATCATGTCAACCATAATATGTCACGTGCAGTGGCTTTAAACCTGATAAAACACTCCTAATTAGTATTCTTTATATAAAGAATACTAATAAAGCAGTATCTATTGTAGTCGTGTCCTCATTATTATTCTTTATATAAAGAATACTAATAAGGCTACTATATCTATTGAATTTGTAGTCGTGTTTGAAGCCGTTTAATAAACGAGCAGGTCGTGTTTTATTAGGGATATTAGAGAGGTTAAGATACCCCGGTTCCGGTTTACGGGTACGAGTATCGCCATTTTGTTTACCACTTTCTGCTGATGTCAGCATTTTTACCCGTAATTTCTACCCGTTTCCCCGCGGAAAACCATGGTCTACACGTAAACGACAAACGGGTACGGGTGTTTTCTGTTTACTATCTGTGGGCCGTTTCAATGGTAAAAAACTTCAACATGTTACTCAAATAAATAATGCACATATGCTCGTCAAATTTTTCAACAATCTATGGTAAACCTCAACAGCGAAAATTACCATTCTCTGATCGTTTTTTTCACGCCGGAATGTCTTGAACTTCTTAAGTGACAAGTCGTTCCCCGATTTACGGGTACGGGTACGTGTATATCACCCGTATCCGTAAACCGGAACCGGGGTATCTTAACCTCTCTATTAGGTCTAAAGCCACTCGCGCTGCGCGCTCGTGTGGCTTTAAACCTAATAAAACACTCCTGCTCGTTTATTAAACAGTACTTAGTGTAATTCCAGTATTGAAAAATGGCCTTTGAACATTCTGATTGGTACCCTGGTTCCAGAGGACCAGAGGCTCTTTGCGAGGCGAAAGAAACGACAGGTGAGAACGGAAAGCCTCGCGTTTCTTTCGCCTCGCAAAGCGACTCTGAAACCATGGTATCTGATTGGCTCCCTCAGCAGTATCTCTGAGGCAATAGTTATTGATTTTATTGAGGATTGATTTTCCCAAAAAATGGTTGACAATCAGATGGAAGTAAATTATTTATGCAAATTATATTCATAAAAAGACATGTGTGATGTGTATTAGTTGTCTTTATAAATAAAACTTTTTCAATACTGAAATTTTTCAATACTGAAATCGCCTCATGCTAGGTGATTATAAGCCTATATTCACTTCGCCTTCGGCTCAGACGTTCAGTGAATATAGCCGTGTAATCACTTCGCTTTCGGCGACTAATTGTTAAATAGAATGACGGATCATTAATGATGGATTATTAAGTATTAGTATAATTACATAGGTGATTATTGAAAATTCTCCACGCTGATTGGTTAATCACCTAAGCGATTTTCAAAATGGCGGCCGAAACCGTTTTGTCAATTAAAAGACGAAGAAATGTGCATTTTTAAATTTTTTTCCAAATAATCACCCATGAAATTATACTAAAACAATTATTCACCTCAGGCTCGGTGATTATCGTGAATAAAAACCTCGACTTCGTCTCGGTTTTTATTCACCGATAATCACCACGCGTTCGGCGAATAATTGTTAAATATTTCAAATCCGACTAGCTATGAGGACTGTAATATATTTCAAGTCTCATAGTCTGAATTGGACTTGAAATGATATCTCACATGAATAAATCACTACTTAAAAGTGAGGTGAATTAATTTTGATCCAGTACAAGGACTTAATTCATTTTGATCCAGTCCTATGATTTATATACTTCGCCAGGTATCCAGCATTATCGTGTGAGCAAAATACGGTTGTCTAATTGACCATTTGCGTAATAGACTAAATTTTGAACTAAACAAGTCTAGACAAAAATTTCATCACAGCTTGAAGGAGCATCACAAAATTAGTAATATTCCAAAGTTTCGTTGCAAAATGTTGTAAAATGCGGAAAATATAGCCTTGCGAAATTTGCAATTTTCGGTCATTTTAGATTACAAACGGGAAATTGACAGCCCCAAACCCTTCGAGGCTGTCAATTTCCGGTTTGTAATCTAAAATGACTGAAAA